CAGTGTTGCCAACTAATTTTCAGGGGAAGTTGCTAAAGGAAGGTTGATTTGTTGCTAAAAGTTGCTAAATGACGCGATGTCATTGCGCGGTGACGTCATTGCGTAATCACGATGCAAAATTGTCACTGCATCAAATCTCAGCAAAAAATAAAAAATGTATATGTTAATTTAGATGTGTTTATAAAATAATATAAATGCATAATATAATATTAAAATATAAATAACTAATTTTAAATACAACATTGAATTATTTAACACTTTCACATTTTTTAACAATTACAATTTAAGTTTATTTTTATTAGCTAGTAAACTAGTAAAACTACTCATTCTGAACAATTATAGTTTTAAGCTGTGTATTAGTAGTTCGTATGCTACACTCTAAGAAATGTCTGTAAAAATAGGGCAAAATCTATTAATATGAAGGAATTTTCCGTAATTATTATTCATTAAAATGTTTTTTTACCTACATTTTAAATTACGCATGGTATTTTGTGTTTTCGGGTTACAGGGTTACAATGGATAACGTGTATCATAAATGAACAATTATTACTATTATTATTAAATTAAACAATTGCTAATAGCAGCTAACTTAATTCATGTGAATTGTGTACTGCTAGGCACCTTTGGTTTCCTCTTTTCGTGTAATTTAGATGGAAAATGTGCGCCTTTTTTATCGTTTGAGTCACTTATCAAAAGTTGCTAAATGTTGCCAAATAAATTTTAAAAAATAGCTAAATTTGTTGCTAGGTGCTTTTGGAAGAAAATGTTGCTAGGGTAGTCTGAAAAGTTGCTAAATCTAGCAACAAAATTGCTAAATTGGCAACACTGACTGTGCGCTTCACGTGAGACTACACACCCCCATAACGGGGAGGCAGAGTGGTACGGTCCAGGCGCAGCCTTTTCCCTATGGAGTTGTTGCTGAGGAGCTTTCAGAGTTTCGGGGAACGAGAGAAGCAAGAGCGCGGGCGGTGAAATGGTGCTGACAATGACTGCCCACTTTCTCAGGAATAACCCGATTCACCCGGGACTGAATGTTAGAGTCCTGCTCATGCTGTCATTTGTGTCAGGTAGGTTCGATCATACCTTATTTGCTATGTCGTGAGCGCGCAAGCCCTCGGCAAAGTTTGGGGGAATCCAGCGGTCTGTGGAAAGTGTTGAGCGCGTGAACCTGATGCCGTCCATGCTCGCGGACAGTCCTTCAAGACGTCACCGTGCAACGTCGTTTGTGCCACGAAAAGTTTCTCAAACTTAGGTTTTGCTGATTTCATTTTGGATACCTTCAAAATAATTATCCTGGAACCCAAATCTAGCCATCTAAATTGTCTTAAATCCGTTATTTTCCTTCAAACTACGCCGATTGTATGAACGCAGTAATCTTGCACGAGGACTGAGATTCAGCTGCCATGGAAACATCCTAGCAGAAACTGAGAAACAAACAGTCGCTGTTTTTTTATGTATATATAAATAAATAAATTATTTATTTTTAACCTCACATCTTTAAAGAATAGTTGAATACTCGAAGTAACCCCTTGACATTTATGTTGGCAGTGGAATGCTAGTCATTGTTTGCCAGCTCGTAATCCACGCCAAATGTTGCGTTCTTTTTGTTTGTTTTTAGAGTGCAATTGTGGTCGTAATAGAAAAATAGAATTCGATGTTATTTGCTTCGTTTGTTGACTGAAAGTTAATTTGAAAAATGGACTTAACTTTCATTTTATGACCCACATCAGATTAGCAATTCCCAGTTCCTTGTAACTTCATCAGAAGTATTTTATGTAAGTGACCCAAGTTTGACATTTGCTTCCTTAGACGCTTATTTGGTTTTGCATTTTGCTGGCTAATGACATCTCTGCAGAAACATCCAATTTAAGATTGCTACCTGGTTTCTAGCTGGTCTAAGCTGGTCATACCTGCAACCTTGCAGTTAATTGTAAACAAGATTTTCCTACAGGCACAGTTTTCATTGACAGTTAAAATCATTCTGTCCCGAGAACACCTGTCACGACCACAGTTGCCTTCTTTTAGCAACGGGCTTCAGTTGTGTATCATTTTGCAGCTGTAGGGGACACATTCAGCCAGAGGTCAGACCACAACACAGCACTCCGGCTCGTGCACAGTGGGGCGGTATCCATAGTGACCCGTTTGTCTGCACAAGACGGCGTCCTCGCGCCCAATCGATCACTCACTCATTCACTCAAAGTAAATTCCGTCATTTTCCAGCTTTTGTCGGGCCTTGGGCATGACAACAATTGTCGGTTTTGTCTGTGACGTAGTTAAATGTTACAATAAACGTTTGGACTGAGATAGGATGTTTTAAAGATTTACTTTGTAACTTTCTTTCATTTGTATTTTTATTAATCTAGGAGCAAAGGTAGGGACTTGGCTTATTCTTAGTATTTTGTGACATATACCGGTACATCCTGTTCATTTTAAGGAGACAAATGTCAGGCCAGACGCCCTGTTGACACTAAGACCTTGTGTCCAGCGGGGTCAGCCACTGCGTCTCCTGTCCTCAGGTTTGTCCAGACATGGTGTGGTCGTTCGCTGCACTGCAGTAAGTGATGGCGGCAGGGGAATGAGGAGAGAGAGGAGGAAAGAATAACAGTTAAAATACCACACAGGAGCTGGGGATTAGCCCTGGCATTCCACTCTGTGTATCCCACCCTCCCTCCTTCCTTCGCTCCCGGTCTTTCTCTACCTCTCTCTCTCTCTCTCTCTCTCCCTCAAACTGCTCTTCGCTCCATCTCATTCATGTCGTCTTAATTGCTTTTTTCCCTCTGTCTCTGTCACCGTGTTCCATTTTTATCCCTGAATCAAATTGGTTGGTTAATAACTTGGACTTAAAATTTTCTCCCAGGCCTTTTTCTTTGTTAAACGCAGATTTTCTCCACACGTCGTGTTATTTCAGTCGCGTGATATCAGTATCTAGACTTTTTGTATAGATATCATGGTACTTTCTATGAAAAGGGTACACTTAGGTGTCCCATTACTGAACTTGAGGTACAAATTTCATGTTTTTCTTGAAGACAATTAAGTTTCCAAAAGTATTACCTAACATAAGATCAACAAGTATGAATGGTAAATAGTTTTAAATGTATCAACTGTCAGTAATGACAAAATGTTTGTGTTTCACAGAGGGCTTGACCTTTATGTACTTGTATAACAAAGTCATGCAACAGTGTCATAATTTAGATATATGTTAAATTGATATTTAATTCATTGTAGCAAAATATATTTTAAACTAGTATTTACATACTACTGAGACCTCCTGCGGTTGCAAAGGTTGATCTCAAGATGGAATGGAAGTAGCAATTAGGGATGCACCGAATGTTCGGTAACCGAAATAATTTGGCCGAAAATAGCAAAAAAAGCTCTTTCGGTGTTTGGCCGAATAAGCGAAAAAGACCGAATAAACTGTACCGAACAATGACGTGACGCGATCAAATAGCAACCAGCGTAGAGTGAGAGGCGCAATGCAACAAACATGTCAGCTTTGTGGAAGCATTTAAAAGTGTCCGAGAAAAACGCAAAAAATCATTACAAGCACTGACAGCGAGAGACTGTTTAGTAGCCTACTGCATTGCATGTCTTCGATGAGAAGAGGTGATTGTTGCTGGTTACTGTATGATGATTGAAATCGCGAAATGGCCTTAAACAATTAGTAAATAAACTGCAGAACATCATGTTTAAGTCTCTTCTGGTCAGCAAGGCTGCTTTTATTTGTATAGTAGAAAATACATGCCTGATTCAAGAAGGGGGTCTGATGGCCAAAAAAAAATAATTTTACTAACTTATTAATTTTAAGTTAAATTGTGCTTTGTTGGTATAATGTCTGCTAGAATGTTAAAAAATGTTCAGTGTTAAATACTTTTAAATTGTTGTTTTGTAATAGATTTTTTCTTTGAAAAGCAAGACAAAACAGTAAAAAGCACATTTTGGCTATTTAATTTTTGCAATGGTGAAAAAAATTGGCAAAATGCATGGGGGAAAAAAACTCGAAAAACCTTGTTCAGTATTCAGCCTTCGGCCCAGTATTTCATTTTGTTCAGTTTCGGCTCCGGCCAAGAATTTTCATTTCGGTGCATCCCTAGTAGCAATAGATCTTTTCTTCTGTATTGTGTCAAACAATTGAGTGAATCAAATGATCATAAAGACAAAAATGTAAGGCAGGGACTTTGGTCAGTCCATTGGTCATTGATTGGATGGAGGCAGATCTGATTGTGACAATAACACATGCATTTAAAAAAATAGGTGAATTTCCATTTCTTGCTATACTTAAGATCCTCTTAAAAAACACTGCATGAACACTTGCAGTGATGGTTTGCATTATTGCATGCTAACTTGCTAGAATTGAACAACTAATGAAACTGGTTCATATTGTCGACACGGGGAAAAAATCTCTATTACCCAATTGTGTCAGCCAAAACCGCTTTTCCATCAATAGGGTGCTGGTGTCGGATCCCGTGCCAAATCTGGAACCACTCTGCACCTTCTAGTCTGGAAAAATCAGCACTCTCCAAGGCCCTAAATTCATGCCAGTGCCAAACCAGGAACCACTAACATCAGAGGCTAATAATATTCTCACTGAGTAAATTATAAGTATAAATATTTCCTTTCTAATTCTTCTTTGAATGTTGTCTTGACTCTCTTCTCTGTGATCGATAAAAGCACTAAAAGGTGATGTGGGAATTGAAGCATTAGTGGTGTTAAAGGCAGTCCTTTCAACACTCATTCTCTATGTGTTTCTCTAGAGCTTAAGTCACTGCTACCCGGCCCCCTGAGTGCTCTCTCTTATCAAGACAGAATTGATGGGGCCAGCGGTGTGTCTGCGAGTAAGATCCATATGTAACATGATTTTTATTGATAATGTTGTAATGCTAGTGACATGGAATCTGTGAGGTAAAACAAAGTGTTCCGTCCGCAAGACCATTAAGGCATCAGTACATTGTACACATTAAGAAGTCTTAGCCAGGTTCTTTATTCATGAATAACCTATGAAAAACATGCATGTTCTTTGGTTGGAGGAGTAGATATTTCTCCACTTTTGCACTCCAGGTCACGCTGCTTTGGAGCGGGGTTGAATAATGAATGACCTCTTTATATAGACCCTTTCATCTGTGCTTGTGAGAGCCCATCATCATAGGGGTGTATGGTGGAGAGTGAGATCACCTTCTGTACCGGTCCTGATTCTAATGTCACCCTTTACACTCTTACATAATGACCAGTTTTACATATGGACACTACTGTTAAAAAGGTTGTTGTTGTTTTAACTAAGAAATTAATACTTTTATTCAGCAAGGATACATTAAATTAATAAAGAATGACAGTAAAGACATTTATAATGTTACAAATGATTACTATTTCAAATAAATGAGGTTCTTTTGAACTTTCTGTTTAATAAAATTAGGGGTGTGCCCGAAGCGTGAAACAAATAACGCGTTATACGGAGCCACTAAAAGGTTAGCCGCTTGCTAGCGGTAGCCTGTTGCATTACAGTACATGAAAGTTCACTTACCACATACACAGAGTAAGGAGAAATGTCTGATAGGACATTTCAATAGCGGCTCCCTAATGCCCGCAATTTATATACAGTCGCCTATACCTACCCAACGATATAATTGCGAGAAAAAGTATTGAAATATATTTTTTTTTATCCTCCCATCTCGTAGGCTATTTATTCCCTTTAGGGTTTCCGCAGTACACTTCATTTCCTTTCCGAACACGGAACTGGTATGCGGCGGATTGCGGGAGAGGGGGGGGAGGAATGACGATGTCAGCTTAACATCGTGATGTCTGTCAGCCATCGGCGATGGACGATGTCATCGTCTATCGGCCCAACCCTAGTCTAAAGTTTGAATGTTATTTTTTCTTAGTCTATAACAAGTACTCGACTACCCTAATACATATTGCACCTCTCCACGAAAAAGTTTTTTCTTACTGTACCCTGCCTGCAGGATCAAGATGAGCTGTCTTTGCACCATCAGAGACTGAAAACAGAGCGCTGCCAGCATTTTTTCCCCAAAAAAATTGCTCTGTGCAGAAGAACAAAAATAGACAGGTTTTTCTG